GAGGGCAAGCCATAAAGTCGGTGTTAGGGGGAACAGAGGGCCCCCTTGATGAACAACAGCGGGCCCGTATTGAGGCGCAACTTCCATCCACCCATCCCCCATGGCAAACTAATTCCTCGGGCAGGAGAGACGCTCTCCACAACTACCGTCAGCATCTCCTAGCCGGCTTGAGGGGAGCCGCTCGAAAGCCTACCAATTTGAGCAAGGTAAGCAAAGTCCTTCAAGGACCTGAGGAATCCCCTTCTGCCTTTCTGGAGCATCTGTTGGAAGCATGCTGTATATATACTCCAATTGACCCAGATGCCCCTACAAATCGACAGGCAATTAATTTGGCTTTTGTTACTCAGTCGGCCCCAGATATTAGAAAAAAACTACAGCAGATGGAAGGATTTGAGGGAAAAAATAGAAAAACATTGATGAGTGTGACAATAAAGGTGTTTAACAATAGGGATCCTTTTAAGGATAAAATGGCTAAAAAGATAGGAAAGGTGAACATTGCAGCCTTGGCAGATGGAGGTTTTATCCAAAAAAAAAATACAAAAAAAATTTTTAAAAAAGATAAAAGTAAAGTATGGCCCTTGTTAGAGAAGGATCAATGTACATATTACAAAGAGAAGGGCCATTACAAGAGGGATGATAAAAAGTTAAAAAAAAAAAGAGAGAGAGAAAGAGACTAAAAAAAAGAAGATGGAGTTCTCTTGGTAGACAAAAAAGATTGATGGGGCCGAGGCTCATGGCCACTTGACCCTAATGAGCCTATGGTGACTTTGGAAATAGGGGGAACAGATGTCCAATTCCTTGTGGATACTGGCACAGCCCATTCTGACCTAAAGACCCCCCTTGGAACCTTTTCTTCCCTAAAGTCCTCCATTACTGGGGCCACAGGACAGTCGGCCTCTTACCCTTGGACCACTAAAAGAACTGTAAATCTGGGAAAAGGCACTGTTACTCATTCCTTCTTAGTCATCCTGGAGTGCCCATACCCTTTGTTGGAAAGAGATCTACTACAAAAATTGGGGGCTGTTATTTCCTTTGAGCCTGAAGGAGGGATTCTCGAACTCAAGCCACCCTCTGCCATTATGGTAATGGTTCCCCTTGAAGATGAATTTAAGCTGCTAAAGGAGGGCACAGAACCTCCTGAACAAAAATGGGACTACCTTCAAAAAAGGTTTCCCCTAGTATGTGCTGAAACCAATTCACCCGGATTGGCCAAACACCATGCCCCAGTGGTGGTTCAACTGTTGGCCTCTGCCACCCCTGCCCGTGTGTGGCAGTACCCCCTTTGGCTGGAGGCCAAGGTAGGGATATCCAAACACATCCACTGACTCCAGGAAGCCGGCATCCTGGTCCCTTGCCAGTCAGCCTGAAATACACCCCTTCTTCCTGTAAGGAAGCCTGGCACCTTGGACTTCAGACCGGTACAGGATTCGTGGGAAGTAAACAGCCGGGTGGAGACCGTTCACCCAACAGTACCAAACCCCTATACTCTATTGAGTCTCATCCCTCCCGGTCATGTGTGGTACTCAGTATTAGATCTTAAAGATGCGTTTTTCAGCCTGCCTGTAGCACCTGTGAGCCAGCCCCTCTTTGCCTTCGAATAGACTCACCCAGACATGAACAACCGGACAGCTGACATGGATCCGGCTGCCACAGGGATTCAAAAACTCCCCCACTCTGTTCGGAGAAGCTCTCAGAAAAGATCAGCAAGAGGTAAAAAAAGTGTTTCCCCAGGCGACTATTCTTCAGTATGTTGATGACCTCCTGGTGGCAACTTGAACCGATAAAAAATGCATTGCAGCCACCGAGGGCCTCCTGAAAGCTCTCCAGGAACTGGGATATTGGGTGTTCTGGAAGAAAGCTCAACTCTGCCAGACCAAGGTAACCTACTTGGGCTATATTCTTTAAAAGGGAAAGAGGAGGCTGACAGAATCAAGAGTATCCACAATTCTCCAGATTCCGAAGCCAGGCCCCAAAAAACAGGTGTCAGAGTTCCTAGGGGCGGTTGGCTATTGGAGGATTTGGATTCCTGGCTTTGCTGAGATTGCCAAACCCCTGCATGAGGCCACTGCCGGAGGAAATACACCCCTCCAATGGACTGAGGCTTGCCAGCAGACATTTCAATTGCTTAAGACTGCACTTACATCGGCACCAGCCCTGGCATTGCCACACTTAAACAAGCCCTTTACCTTGTATGTGACAGAGAAAAATGGGGTGGCTAAGGGAGTGATTACTCAGCTTTTGGGGCCATGGAAGCGACCTGTGACATACCTCTCAAAGAAACTCGACCTGGTGGCCCGAGGGTGGCCTACTTGTTTGAGGACAATAGCAGCAGCAGCTGCTTTAACCTCAGAGGCTGACAAATTGACCTTTGGACAGGATTTAACTTTGATCACTCCCCATGCCATTGAGCCCTTGTTGAATAGCTCACCTAGCAAATGGCTGTCTAACGCCAGACTGTTACAATATCAAGGACTCTTATTAGAACAGCCACGCATTAAGTTTGCCACCACCACTGGCCTCAATCCCCCTACTCTACTACCAGAATCTGACGAACAAATGCCCATCCATGATTGCCTCGAGACTCTTGCAAACTCAAGGGGAGGACGTCCGGACTTGACGGACCAGGCCCTCCCCCACGCAGAGATAACGTTCTATACTGATGGGTACAGTTTCGTTCGTGATGGTGTACGGTATGCTGGAGCGGCGATGGTCAACCAGGACCAACAGGTGGAATGGGAGCAAGGGCTACCTCAAGGGACATCAGCACAGAGGGCTGAGCTGATTGCTTTAACTAAGGCTCTGAAATTGGGAAAAGGAAAAAGGATAAATATATTCACTGATAGCCGTTATGCTTTTGCCACTGCCCATGTACATGGGGAGATTTATCAGAACAGAGGGCTGCTAACCTCCAAAGGGAAGGAAATTAAAAATAAGACTGAGATATTGACACTACTACAAGCCATCTGGTTGCCCCAAGAGGTTGTTATCATCCATTGCCATGGGCACCAAAAGGGGTCAAGCCCCGAGGTGATTGAAAATAATGCTGCTGATCAGGCAGCAAGACAAGCCACCCAAAAATCAGTGGGGAAGCAAATGGTTCTGCTTCCCACACCAGTACTCCCTGAAAAACCTAAATATACAGACAAGAAGATAACGGAAATGAACAGGAGATGCTGGACTCGAAAAAGACATGGGTGGTGGATGACTAAGGCGGGAAAGACGGTGCTCCCAGCCACTGTAGCAGACACGTTGCTGTAAGAACTACATAAGTCCGCCCACCTCGGTGAGAAAAGGATGATGGCTGCCTTACAACCCCATTTCGTCAGCCAGGGATTAGCCCAAAAGGCCCAGGACATGGTGAGACGATGCCCCACCTGCCTCAAGGTAAATGCTAATTGGGTAACCAGGCCCCCTGGGGTCTGACAGAGAGGACTAACTCCAGGAGAACATTGGGAGTTGGACTTTACTGAAATAAAGCCTGGCATGTATGGCTACAAATACCTGCTAGTTTTTGTGGATACATTTTCAGGATGGGTAAAAGCATACCCCACTAAGAGGGAGACAACAAAAGTAACAGTTAAAAAGCTCCTGACAGAAATAGTTCCCTGTTTTGGTTTGCCCTTAGCTCTGGGGTCCAACAATGGTCCAGCCTTTATGGCTAAGATATCTAAATTAATTAGTAATATCCTTGGAATAAAGTGGAATCTACACTGTGCCTATAGGCCTCAAAGTTCAGGACAGGTAGAGAGAACAAATTGGACTTTAAAGGAGATTCTGACTAAATTATGCTTGGAGACTGAACTAGGTTGGGTAGAGCTTCTCCCTTTTGCCCTCCTCCGAATGAGGTGCACTCCCAAGCCTCCCCTTAATCTGTCCCCCTTCCAGATTGTTTATGGGTGATCTCCCCCAATCATTCCATTAATAGATGTAAAATTAAAGAAAAAAGTTTCCCACCTTCGACTCCTTAAATCCTTAAAGGCAGTTCATCAGCTTCAGTCAGAGCTACATGAGACATTACAAAAGAAAATGACTAGTCCAAGTGAAAAACCTTTACAACCTTTACCCTATAAGCCAGGAGATTTGGTTTTTATTCGCAGGTTTGATTCCAAGACCCTGGAACCTCGTTGAAAGGGACTGGTTCCTGTTGTCCTGTCAACTCCCTTGGTGGTGAAGGTGGCTGGACATTCTGCCTGGATACATCGCAACCATCTAAAAGCAGGACCCCCCCACAGAAGTCAAAAAGGACAAATGGAAGGTTATCAGCCAACCAGGCGACCAAAAGCTAAGACTGGAATGGGTTGGAGATGTTTCACCTTAATGATAATATTCTCTGGGACACTGACAGTATTGCCCCCAAGAGGACTAGATCACACAAAAATGTATGGATTCAATTGGCAAACTCACTTAACTTGTCTGAATTCTGCTTAAATGTTGATGTAAATTTCCATTATGTGCTGGAAAACTGTCTCATTCCAGTATGCACCTCTTTAGAATTAATACGACCCTATACCCTATTTAAGGACATCCCAGAAAAAAATCTCACTTACATGGATAGTTATAATTGGGGGCATGACACCTGCTGTAAACCTAAAAATGCTGTCAAATTATATACACCCAAGGTAATTATGTCAAACAAAACTAAATGTGCTATGTATAAAAATTGTACAACCAAATGTCTGAGGATAAAATTGTCAGAAGAGATGTTCTGCCATATAAAACAAAAAATTGTGTGTAACAATTGCCATATCTCCCTGCCCACAGGTTGGTTTTATGCCTGTGAAGGAATAACCTTTAATTGTATTCCAGCAAATTTAACCAAGACCCGTTGCTGTTTGAGTCATCTAGCTGTAGTGTTGCCAGACAGAACTGATTTGATTGCACATAACAGAACTAAACATTGGTCACCTTACACTGCACCAGGATGTGATAATGACGTAGGTCTGTTAACAGATGCTGAAGTAATAACCATGATAGCATCTTTTGTTGCCCTGCCTTCTATAGGAGTCCATGCTGAAAAGGCAGTATGAAAATTAGCTTGCAAGGTGGTCAAAGGGTTAAATGCTACCTCATCAGCCTTGGCATTAATTAACCAAGAGTTACAGGAACAGAGACAGG